AAAATTTGTCACCACGAGGAATCGAACTAGGGACCCCTTTTCTGGTATTCAGAGGGCCGTTCAGGAAAAATTAACCATGGTTCTGTGGTTCCCGCATGTGCCCCTATATCATGCAAAAGACCGTTTTGAAAAAGCTTGGCACACCCTGAAAGACCTTCCTTATAAGCTTCAAATGATCAATGTCTTACGACAACCTTACCTGGACACGATTCTGGTTTATATCGCCACAGACCTCCTATATCATTTGACATTTCGAAGCATACGGCCTAAAACATGATACAAGTACGAATCCACAGCTTGTTACAAGGCTGAGCTTGATTTTGTGACCTTTCGAATTTTATTATCGCTTGAGTGTTTCTAAACTAGGAACTCCTAAAAATTGAAACTGTAGTGCTTACCTCGCAGCCGTCTTCAATGGCACTTTTAATGGCAGGTAGCCCACTAGCACCAGCGCCAATAATTGCCACTCGCATTCTGTAATATCAGTAACTTAATAAATCCTGATGGCACCGGAGAGCGGGTAGCCGTCTGTAACAGCACCTTGGAATGCGCAGGCAGTGAACGTGGACAAGATTCCAACAAGTCATGAGTATGAGGAAAAATTTCTCCCGAGGCGTACTACTTCAATATGTGAGAAACTTCGGCTCTATTCCGTTCTTACAAACCCGGTAGGGGGTGAAACGGGCTAGAAAACGTTTTTCGCAGAAACTTCTCTTCGAGAGTTATTGAGGGTCCTGACCACGATCATGGCGTCCATTTCAGATGCTGGTGCAAAATGATTTGGCGCCAGATAGCGCTGCGACTGATCTCCACCGAATTCGCTGTAAACTTGTGCATAGGGTTACTGATTACGAATATGACATTCGTTTTTGTTGTTGGCGCTATTCGGCGCCTATTTCCTGCTCGTCTGCGCCCTCGCACTAATTAGATCGCAATCAGGACTAAGCCTTTGAATAGTGGAGGGCTCCAAAGTGAGTAGGCCACTCCCCTGTGATCTCGTACACTCATTTTTTGCCACACGGTGCGTGATCTACCCACTCCGGAGCCTCAAGCACCTCCCCCTCCCCTTTAAGCTCATTTTCGGGCGCTATACATGAAAGAACCATGACAGCAGGAAATCTGTGTCAACGCGCGAATACCAAAAATTAAAGTCATTTTCGTAATCAGGATGCTAAAATAACACTATGTAGAAGTTTATACCGATTTTGGTGAAAACAGCTGTCGTGACCAAGTAGCGCCAGCCGGCTCAAAGGCACCGACGCAAAATATGGATGAACATTCATGATCCTGCAGCTCAATCATCGAAAAAGTTTCAGCG